GCAGGGAGCCCGATGTGGGACTCGATCCCGGGACTCCAGGATCATGACCTGAGCCGAAGGCAGTCGCTTAACCAACTGAGCCACACAGGCGCCCCTAAAAATCCCAGATACTTTATCACAGCAGTGCGTTTAGTAGCACTGTATATTTCTCATGGAACAACACTTTTTAAAAAACTGATACTAACACATACTTCATTCTGATTTTCATCTTTGCTCTTTTCTTTTCTCTTTAGATAACTAACATCAAGTAGGAACGAGTATAGAAATTTTTAGAAAAATAGATGGTAGGTCGTAAAGTTAGAATAGGGGTATTAAAAATGAGCCCTCCATGAGTAGTTATTAAGTTTTTAGCGATCACTGTGGTACTTAGTGGGTAGCTATTTTATTTTATTCATCATGATAACTGTACTCTTTAATCCCCATCACCTATTTCACCCATCACTCCACCCACCTCTTGTCTGGTTTGTATGGTTCAGTTTGTTCTCTATAGTTAAAAGTCTTTTTGTTGGTTTGTCTCTCTTTCTTTTTTCTCCCCTTTGTTCATTTGTTTTCTTATGTTCTGCATATGAGTGAGATCAAATATATTTGTCTTTGACTGACTTATTTCGCTTAGCATTATACTCTAGCTCCATCCATGTGGTTGCAAATGGCAAGATTTCATTTTAATGGCTGAGTAATATTCCATTGTGTGTGTGTGTGTGTGTGTGTGTGTGTGTGTATACACACTACATCTTCATCCATTCATCTATCGATGGATACTTAGGCTGCTTCCATAGTTTGGCTATTGTAAATAATGCTGCAGTAAACATGGAGGTGCATGTATCCCTTTGAATTAGTGTTTTTGTATTTTGGGATAAATACCCAATAGTGCAATTACTGGATTGTAGAGTAGTTCTATTTTTAATTTTTTGAGGAACCTCCATACCATTTCCACAGCAGCTGCCCCATTTTGCATTCCCACCAACAGTGTCAGAGGGTTCCTTTTGCTCCACATTCTTCCCAACATTGGTTGTTTCTTGTGTTTTTAATTGTAGCCATTCTGACAGGTGTGAGGTGATATTGTAGTTTTGATTTGCATTTCTCTGATGATGTTGAGCATCTTTTCATGTGTCTGTTGGCCATCTGTATGTATTGTTTGGAGAAATGTCTGTTCATGTCTTCTGCCCATTTCTTAATTGGATTACTTGTTTTTTGGGTATTGAGTTGTATCAGTTTATATATTTTGGATACTAACCCTTTATCAGATTTGCAAATATCTTCTATTCAGTAAATTACAATTTAGGAGTGGCCTTTTCGTAAAAACTTTTAGAAGTCTTATGAAGATAAGAGCTTTTATAGGGGTTCTGGATCATTATGTAACTCTCCATTAATTTCTAGGTATCTGGTCACCCATCTCATGGGAGCAGATCTGAACAACATTGTGAAATGTCAGAAGCTTACAGATGACCATGTTCAGTTCCTCATCTACCAGATTCTCCGAGGTCTCAAGGTATATTCTTCCTTCTCCATTCCAAGGCTTAAGAAAAGGAAGGAAAAAAACAACAACAAACCTTTCCTATGGAAAATTTCAAACACTCACAAAATCACAAGTACAATCATAATGTAATGAACCCCTGTGTTTACTCAGTGATCACAGTTACCAACATATGGCCAATATTGTTTCTTTTGTATTTCCCAATCCCTGGATTATTTTAAGGCAAGTCCAGGCATAATGTCATTCCACCCATAGATATTTCAGTATGTATGTCCAAGAGCTCAGGACGTCATTCTTACATCTAAAGAGTAGTAATAATTTCTTGAGATAATCTAATACCTGGTCAGTGTCATGTTGAAAGTTTAAAAACCTCCTCAAGGAGCCCAATTTATTTGTGGGAGGGGCAGGTAAGTAATGTTTTAAAATTAAGCCACCTTTGACATTTAGCAGCTTTGAGTCCTCATTGAGCTCCACAGCACCCACCAGAAAACGGGTTGAAAGCTCTGTTTAACTCATACCTCAATTCTATGAGTAGAGCTGATGGTATAGAAATCATAGTTATGATAAATGTACAGATTACTATTAATTACTTGTTCTCATTTCTAATCCCATTATTTAATACTCGCATTTCTTACTGGTTCATGAAAATATATTTAACTGTGTCATATGACTGTAAGAGGTTGGAGATAACTTTATGATTAATTGACCTTTTTCTCTTTCACAGTATATACATTCAGCTGACATAATTCACAGGGTAATGTGATTTTGATTAAATTATTTGGGGAGGAGGGGGGTACTGAAGTGGAGAGGACCTGCATTCAGCCAAGATCCTAATCTAAACTTACTTTAGCCATGGAACTATATTGATTGATTGTAACTTTGCTCTAGGTTTAAACTGATTAAAGAAAGAAGATGTATAGTTTTTAGTTATTTAAGGCTAATTAGGACTAGCTAGTGACTATAGATGGAGATCATTGATAGCTGGATAAAGTCTTACCTTTATGTTTGGATCTTCATCATTACCTGTAGGGAGAAAACCTACCATGTATCACGAAGTTGATCCTGTCTTCTCTGTACTTTTGCTTCCTAGGACCTAAAACCTAGTAATCTAGCTGTGAATGAAGACTGTGAGCTGAAGGTGAGATGAACAGACGCTGGTAATTGTTTGTTTCAACGTGTAATTATGTGTTTGACTAACCAGGCAGACTATATCCGAAAATTCATACTGTCCTTAGGAATATCAGATTTTGAAATTTGAACCGCCCCTCCGCTACCCCTAATCCTGGCTTCAGACAACCACTGATCTGCTTGCTGACACTATAGATTTATTTTTTCTGGAATTTCACATAAATGGAATCATACAGTCTCTTTGTGTGTATGTGTCTAACTTATGCTTCGTATGATATTTTTGAAATCTGTGTTTTATCAGTAGTTCATTCCTTTTTATTGCTGAGTAGTATTCATTTTATGAATATGCCAGAATTTGTTTATCCATCTCTCCTTGATAGACATTTGCTTCAATTCTAGTTTGGGGCTGTGTATAGCTGCTATGAATATTCATATTCAAGCCTTTGGGTGGATGTATGTTTCCATTGCTCTTGAATAAATCCCCAGGAGTAGCATTTTTTGTTTAGCTTTTTGTAATTTTATTTTTTAAAGTTCTTGCTGTGTTTATCATGTGTTCTAAGCATGGACTAGGAAGTATGTTTATGAAAGTCCTGTATTATTCTTCCTTTTTCTAAGGCATTAGAGTTTTTTTCCCCTCCTGCTTTATAAGTCTTGACTGTCCAGTGCCTGATTTCTCTTTTCTCCCTTAGATCTTGGATTTTGGACTGGCCCGACATACAGATGATGAAATGACAGGCTATGTGGCCACCAGGTGGTACCGGGCTCCTGAGATCATGCTGAACTGGATGCATTACAACCAGACAGGTATTGCTTTTATTGGTTATTTGGCACCTTATTAGTCACCATGTTGGGTGTATTTGGGATTCTCAGAAGTAGAGATGATGGGAGTGGGAGGAAACATCTTTTTCCCCCCTCAGTGATCCTTTTAAAGTCGACAGGAAATATTTCAGTTGCTCAGATAGAGAAAGTGGGATTTTTATACACAGCTTTCAAACTTTGTGATTTAGCAGTTGGGTTTTTATTTATTTAGATTTCCAACATATTCTGTGAGTACCTCTACCTGAAGACAATGGGTTCATAATTTTAACCGCTCAACATTACTTTGGAGAATCTACCATTTCTACCAATAAGAATCTCTACCCCTTTGTGAACAGCTTGTTTCTCTTGCCTTAACTATGTTTTGATGTCCCACCTATGTAGCCCTTTACTGGGGTCTTAATAAGCTTACTTCTGTAAAGAAGAGTATGATTGTTGAACCTCGAATGTATTATATATTAATTTGAGTATTTCACCTCTAGTTATAGTTTCATTTGTGGTCAAGTATGATGACAGTGACATCGTATGCCCTTTTCTCTTTAATTTTGCCAGTTGATATTTGGTCAGTGGGATGCATAATGGCCGAGCTGTTGACTGGAAGAACGTTGTTTCCTGGTACAGACCGTATCCTTTAAAAAGTTTTGGATTCTTGTTTCTTATCTGTATTTCAGTGTCCATGGAAGTATATTGCTTTTGCCTAGCTCTAGGGAAGGCTCTCAGTTACTTGCTTAAATAGTTCAGATATGTGTTATGAGGTCTGCCCTCTGACTGAATATCTTGCCTTGTCAAGAAAGAGCCTTCAATTTACTTGTGTGAGTTGGAAAAATTCCTCATAAGCTGGAGAACTCTTTACATCTCTCACATATCATCTTTTTACAGTGAGTCCCTTATTATATTAATCTTCTCACAGCAGTTCTGCAACCTGAGTGTATTTCTGAGAAGCTCCAGATCTCAATGACTGGTTTAGTCTGCTTGTACAACACTTAATGAGCACAAGGTACCATTTACAAATCAGGGGTATCTTTAGCTTTTGTGTTTGGTTTACATGTTAAAAAGATTATATTTGGTCCCTATAATGATGTACCTGCTGACTATCTTTATGTTTGTTATTTAACAACAAATAATAAAAACAAGAAGTGATAAGGTCATCCTGACGTGTGCCTTTTTTTTTTTTGCAGTGCAGTTTTGTTTTTAGCCTAGAGTGTAGCCAAACCTTAATTTACTTCCAGATTTATTATCTAGTTTATAATTTATCATAGCCCTTTTATTTTAGGTCCTTTCTTGTCTGCTGCATGCCCATTTCATGGTTTAGAAATAATATCAGCAAAATGTCAGGTGCATGGGTGGCTCAGTTGGTTAAGCGACTGCCTTTGGCTCAGGTTATGATCCTGGAGTCCCTGGATCCAGTCCCGCATCGGGCTCCCTGCTCGGCAGGGAGTCTGCTTCTCCCTCTGACCCTAACCCCTCTCATGTGCTCTCTCTCATTCCCTCTCTCTCAAATAA